CAATGATCCCATCCATTCAAAGGGACCAAGTCACAGGAAGTAAATCTAAATCTGAATTCTTAAAATCAACTTTAAATTATATGAACACTACAGGCCAATACCAAATATCTTGACAATACTGACCTTTAAAGGGCCAAAAGCAGAATAGTTCACAATGGAGGAAGCTATCAAAGCTCATTAACTGTGTCACATTATTCACTTTAATAAATCCTACTCTGCTCTACAAAAGAGACAGGGCTGCAGATGGTTATGAAAAGGAAGCTGATGGTACAAGTGTGCCTTTGAAACAAACAGTGTACATTAAGCATTCTTTTTAACTAGCTTGTTGACTAAAATTTGAAATCTATCATCCCTTTAATAAAACCCAGTCAGAAGGGCGTGCGTGGTAAAAAACAGTAAACAGCAAACACAAGTGTCTAGTGTGCTAGCACATTCTGCAGTATTTACCAACTATTTTGCTGAAGAGCCTTGATGGTATCGCACCAGCAACCAAGAACCTACATTTGCATGCCCTGAGAAAGCGCATTGGCACTTTCAGGTGAGACCAAGTGTCTCAGTTTTCAAAATGTTAGCTCATGAGAATAACTCTTAATTGCTAATTTTAGCAGGTACTTTCTACAGCCATGTTTTAGTTGCCATTCAGTCAGTACTAAGGCTGAGTAAATCACTAGTGTGGACAAATTTTGTACTTGAGCTCCAGCTTTAATTATGACTCAGTAGTCAAAAGTTTTTGACACTCTCCAGAAAATCAAATAAGCTAATGAGTGGGAACAGTATATGGTGTGAAATGGAGACCCGTGCCAAACTCTGGATTGAATAAAAACAGGGAGATATTATTAAATGTGTCTGGGTTCAAAGGCCCAATTTGTTGTTAATTTCAACATCCATTATGAGCTATTTAAAAACAAATGTAGCCCTCACTCTGCTTTATGTTTCACTGGTCACTTGCCCTTCTCCTTGTCCACTCCCTCGCTATCTTTTCGGGGTTAAGATATAACCGCATGTTTGTGTGTGTGTGTAGGGAAAAACAAAGACTCTGATATTTTCCAGCCCTTTGAATAACTACTGCTGAGTCATTGGTCAGCTATTCAAAAAAAGGGCTTTACCTCGGCCTGAAGTTATTAAAGGAAAGTCTTAGTCCAGGTTCACATGAGTATTACTTTAGGCACCAAGTACATACAGTCAACTATAGGAAGCAGAAGCAGACATGCAACTCCTCCACTTCTGTGCTCTCCACATGTTGACTTTCTTTGTTTGGTTTTTACCCGCCTCTCTTCAGCTCTCGCTCCATCTCAGCCTCCTTCCTAATCTCACACCAAAAATGCAAGCTGTTTATTTGCGTAGGTCTGAAACCGTTCCATTAAGTAGCCCCACCAGGTGCTTTATCCCTAAAAGGGATTTGTTTTTCTAAAATAAACGGAGAAAGCAAAGGACTGCCAAAGTGATATCTACCATGACATGAAGTGAGCGCAACAAAGTCAAACTATCTAAATAAGAGGCACTGAGGCTTCAAGGAACTTTATGGAATTTTCATACATAGCCACAAACATTCATGTAGTGAAAACAAACAGGAATCTGTAGAATGTGTGCAATATATAAATATACTGCTGTGCTTTAGGTGGTGAGGGTGTATGTACATAAGATATTCCATCCGTCTCAGCACCACTGCTTTGCTGTAAAGGCAGTCTGACAGATGCTTCCCTAGGTTACCACAAAAAACCCTGTGTAGTCATTTTGCTCAGAAGACAACAAATCAATCCCATTTATTAGCTCTATTTCATCTTTTCTGAAGCTGAGACACAAGGCCAAGACTGAGAAAGAGAGCTCTGGCACTTTTCCTCTCACTTTTGTGATTTTCTTTTCATCTCGCTATAAGACAACTCATCTGCAGATGGAATTTGCTTACTTCTGTCACCTCAGTCAATCTCACACGAGGGCTCTGTCACGTTAGCCGTCTGCACCTGGTAGCCGACTGACATTATCAAAGCTGCTCACTTGCCGAGGCAGACCAGAGAGTACACATCCATCAATATGTTCCAGACCAAGAGAAGACATGGCTGTCTGATGCTGATAGAAAAATAGATTGAAACTTGTCAAATGCGCTTTTCTACAAAAAAAGATATCTTAAGTAGCTTCAAGATCGCACATCTGTGATGACATTATAAGTAGGATTCCACCTACCTCACGACTACAGATAATTCCTATTCAGAGAGTTGCACGGAAAGAATCTCGCCCCATTGTGTAACATACGGTACTGAACATAAGGCGCGAATTTAACTGTGCAACCTGTTTAGTCAGACAATACGAAGGCAGACGATCTGCCAGAGTGTGTACCGATAGCAGCTGATGCACCCATGGGAGCAGAGCATCAGATAGGGAACGCAGACAGTGGCCAGGTGAGGGTGTTTAGAATGCTTTGACACATCCTGCGATCTCAATCAACAGGAAAAGGCAGAGGCATACGGTCGCTGTATGTCTCTGCGCTGGTCTGTATTGTGACGCCTTTGTAGTGACGATAATTTTTCATTTTCACGCTGCCTTGCATCTATTCTGCCTGTCACTGTTTTTAGCCGCAGCAGATAAGCTCAGAGAGTAGATTACGGTACTTACAGTGCATGAAAAACACAGCAACAAAACTGCAAATGACAGAAGCGTTTTACTTTCTTGCTAGAAATCTCCCCCATGTGGCACTTTCGCTACAGCGAGTTGTTTATTATGTTCCAAGCTAGGCATAAGCGATTAAAGGAGCTCTTAAGAATCAAAGTGTTATAAATGCATGGAAACACAGCCGGCTGTAAATGCCACAGAATTAGAAGCTTACCGAGCCTAATACTAATACATGGCAATTTTCAGCTTGATGCTGATATAAAGAAATTACTTTTTTAAAGTAAGCAATAAATGCAGTCAAGGGAACGATTACAGAGGCCCTATTTTCATCCCGGCATAAATCTCAACACGACCTTTCTGCGGGTCCAACTCATGAATCCACTTGTTTATTCTTAACGCTTCCATAAAAAGTAGATTAAACAAAGCAACTTCAACAGCTAAATGAAAGCAATATAAGCATTCACAGCAAAGCAAGAATTACAAGACGTGCCTCTTTGCACATTGTGTTCTTCTCTCCCTTACATGGATTCATGAAATTCAAATGACATCCAACATGAGAGGATAAGACTTTGAAAGACCTCAAAACAGGGGAACATGTTTTGGGCATGTGAGGATTGTCTTTTTTTTTTTTATTGGGTTGGAAAGCTGGATGTCATCAGGTCTGAATAAATTGGCCAAAAAGGAGGCAAACACACGGCACACATCAGAAGCAGCCCTATCACAGAAATATGCCCGTATGATGATAAATATTCCAGATATCCAAATCAAAACTTTTGTCAGTAGCCTGCACCTCAAGTATATGTCATACTCTAAAGTGCATGCTTTTAAAATAAATATTTTTAAAAGTGCGTTCGGTCCAAATGGAGAGAAAAATGAGCACCATACATGCTTTTTACACACTCGTCCTCTTTGACTCGATTGCACTTTAAAAGAGCTTTAAACACCAAGACATATTAATCCCATAAGCTGCCACGGGGATTTCTGCATTAGTGATGCAATCAAAATCACATTGGAAGCTTGTGTCAACAATTAAGCTGATCTTGCCACATTAACATTAATTACACAACCATTTGGAAGATTTCAGTGCTGATCTTACATCTGGAGCAGGCAGCTGAGGGCTCTGGTGGAGTGGACCTGAGTATGCGGAGAATGCACTCCAGATAAACTCTCAACATGAGTCCTCTGCTTCCATTTTTTTCCCAAGGCTGAATCTTGTAAACGTGGTAGTGACTGAATCCCCAAAAAGAAGACCAAAGGCTTACTGATACATTGTTACATTGCAGAGAAGAGAGAGTCCTACAGTGCAACTGTAACAACACTTAGATATTTGTTTTCAGAATGTACGGAGAAGCTGCAGCTGTTAATATTTAAGACAGGATTTGTCTACAGGCAGGTGTTTTTTATTAGCAATCCAATATGACATTTTTAACATGCCACTTGAAGAAATATATTCAAAAGAAAAACACTTGCAAAGTCTCTCTCGGTTCAAGAGTACAAAGAGTACAATCTCTTTTTTTTTTTACTGATCACACAACTATTCATTTTAATATTTATCAAATCAACTAAACAAAACCAAACAAACATGAGTTACATTACTCAGAATAGCTTTGTTGCCATTTAAAAAGCTACCTACAATGAAAGCACTGCTACCCATGTCCAACGTATCCACTCACAAGTCACAGCATGTTTTTGGGGGGGAGCTAGTGAGTGAGAGACAGAAAAGAAATAATACAAAGAGAGATGAAAGAAAATATGGCAAAGAGAGGGAGATGAGGTGAGCTTTAAGTTGTACGAGACAGAAAACAGACGCACTCCTCCTCTGAAGCCCTGAGCTCCTGAAGTGTTATCACCCCCCACCCCCCGCATGCAAAGCACTTCTCCAAAGTCCTACTAAGCCTCACTCGATCGCTCCATCCAGAAGTTCACATCCAGGGGGCCTCAGACTCTCTCAGACAGAGACACGGGTGTGAGAAGCAAACCTGAGATACGGGTGATATGCCAACCATAGCAGCTGTGTGTGTACTCCAACTCCCTTGTCTTGTTTGGTAAACACAGCATTACCTTATTTTAGCTAAAACCTTCCTAAAAATCTAGTTACTGTCCGTACGCCCCTGCGTCCAATTAGTCCTTCAACACTAAAAACCTTTTTAAAATCAAACCACTAACTTTCTTAACTAGCCACGGTTCTAGTTTCTGATCAGCAGCTTCTCTAAACACTAACAGAGTGCACCTGTCAAGTCCCCGGCCCACCCTCTTGGCCCTACATGCACACACAAAAATACAGTACACAAACAAGAAAACCACCCTGCATTCAGTTACTTATTAAGCCCTTTCAATAGAGCATTCGCACACACATGCTGGGTCTGGAGTCTGGTAAATGATTGTGTGTTTACCTTCCACGAGGACTTGCTTATTTAAAGCAATCTTCAGTTCCAGCGGTGGTGAAACAGCCTCCTCGCCCTGCAGACACAAAACGGGAGAATTATTTAGAATTCTGAAATAATTACCGCTGCAATGTTCGTCATCAGCACCCTCGAGCCAAATTACAAAAAAAAGAAACACGAGGTACACAGGTGTAAACTACAAGCAGCCGGCAACGAGCCAGCGGCTTCCACCAGTTGCTATCGATTGGAATTGATAACCGGCGCAAACAGTCTTATATGTTCTGAGAAACCATCAGAAAGAAATCAATTCTCTACATTCCTGTGCTGTTTGCCTCCCCTTGTTTGTATGAAGCTGTACAAGCAGTCAGTGTACCTTCCTCAGCTGCTAGGAACGTAAAAGCAACCATTTCAGCTCAGAGCGGGGCAGGAGGCACCTTTCCTTTATCTTCCTGTAGCCTACTATTGTCACCGTCCGACACATCCTCGCATTTCCATCTGCCTGTTAACTACAACTACACCCACTGATGATAACAAGTGAACAATGGGGCTGTCTGTGAGTGAATGGTTTATTTGCAAGACAAAAACTTTTCATATTACTGACAGAGGATGCCCTTCTTGGCACCCCCTGCTGGTGAACACACCTCATCTATACCTGCTCTGCCCTCGCTCTACTCCCCTGGGTGGACCTGATCTGAATTCACGGCTTTCCTAAGTGAGCACTCAACCCAGGCGAAGAAAGATGAAAAAAGAAAGAAGGAAACAAAATCTTATTTTTATGGTAAACTGAGAAGTGACTGTGGACCAATATCTCAGGTGAATTTGAATAAAAGCATTAAAGCATATCCAAATATGAAAAAAAGGCTCCAACTCCCTCTCCCGCTGTTCTTTTTTGCCGTTTACATTTGGCAGTCAAAAATGTGGCCGGGCATTTGTGAAAGTGTATATCTAAAGCATGCCGAACGCAGATAAAAACAACCCGGACCAACATGCCCAGTTTCAGCGTTAATTATGAGTTAAACGCCCTTGTTGAAAACGCGAGTCAACATGCAGCTCGCTCTGAACTCTACCGAGGGTTGAACAATCATTGAAAATGGACCATTCCCACACAACTACCCTATTATTGTGATTCATTACACTTCAATTAACATATCATCAATGGAATCGTAAATCAATGGTGAGTGGTGACAAATGACAGATATTTTCAGTTTCAAACTACTAAACATCATTAATTCCCATCACCTGAAAGAGCCCCGGGAGCTAAATGAGTTTACCCAATGCATAACATCCATTTAGATAAATGTTCCATCATTTTAATGATGGAAAATTTGTACTGGAGAGAAAAGGCAACAACGGGATCCTGATAGCAGCTGTACGCCTTTTCTCCTTGTAATATAAAGCCCATCTTGTAATACCTAAACAGATAATTGTCTCCATTTCAAACAGCACAGGGTTGTAATATTGCCATTTAGAACAGTGGGGGTGCACAGATCGTAGGGTGAGGATAAACAAGCACATGCTGCTTAGCCCGGTTGGGAAAAGGGAACCCATCACACACTCCCACATTGAGATTTTAGGGAATAGAACAACTCCTGGTTGAGATAATTACCCACCAAGGTGGGTTATGTGCATGCTCAGTAAGAGGCCAAATCTAAGAAAATGAATCTAAATGCAACAATTTTAAAAGACAAAGGAAACTAAGAAGCATTTTCTAAGGTTCTCATGCAAAGTCTTGGCTGGCTGTTGCATATCTGCCGTGCCATTTGGTAAAAAAAAAACAAAAAAAACCAACACAACGGCACATAGGACAACAAAGTACTTTTGACATGGAAATCTCACAGTGCAGTGACACGTAAAACTGATACTAACTGCACAGAGTTACACCATTGATACAAACAAAACAGCACTTTGTTCCACCTAAACCTTTCAGCTAAACTCGTGCAACAAACAACATCTTGGTGAGCACAGAATTCCAATAATCTGCTGGATACAAACTCAATAGAAAAATACCTGTTTGTCAGTTATAGCCTGCAGTTAGCCATTAATCTTGGACTTTCCCAAGGGGGCATGTTCCAGGCTTGTAGTAGCAAAGCTACTAAAAAAACGCATGTTCTGTCATAATTAGTTGCTCTGTGTATTTTCTCCATATTATCTTTCCAGTACAGTCACTCGGATTGTGTTTTCTTTACCTGGGTGGGTTGCTGGATTGATGACAACCCCTGGAAAGAGGTATAAAGCAAAACAAGACTTGATGTCTTGCTGATTTCTGTCAAAAATGACTCACATATCTCAGCAGCGATTGCTTAAAAGTAAAAGATAATGAGCAGGAAGCTTTGACTTTCATTAATTATATACACTTAATTGAAATATGTATTCCACTATGTTTTCATTGAAGAGGTAGTGGAATACTGATAGTGTTACTTCTTTTACTGGATGCCACTTGAAGTAGCCTGAGAAATTTTAAAAACTGGCTACTAGTATGTACAAAGACTACAATGTAAGATATACATAATGAAATGATACAAAAATGAACATTACATTTTTAAGTTAATTATGCAGGAAATTTTTATTTGTGCCGCTACGAGACCTTTTTATTAGCCCGATAGCTTTCAGGTGATCCATAAAAATGTTTCCATTTTGTATGCAAATACCACAGGGCTTCATTGTAGTCATGGTGGGAAAAACATGCAAACACCTTATTTTCAGAGGAAATGGAACAATCAGAAGGGTTTTTTGCTATGGTAATGAACGGCTGTGGTTACATGTGAGTGTGAACAAAGACTCATTTTATTCTGTCCACAAACCTGTGAAGTGGACTTTCCTATTTTTTGAAGGGGTCACGGCTTCACAATATGCTCTCTAGTCACAGGTATGTTATCAGTGCCTTTGGCTTTGTTGTAAGATTGCATGTTCAAAATATGAATTAATACCCCTCCACTGAAACGCACCCAATCCCAACAAAAGGCCTGCATTCACTGTGGACAGCTCTTCAGCTCCTCTAATGGACAGGCTCTCCTCTCTCTTCACACCGTGCAGACAAAAAGATGAGGGCCCATGAATATTTACCACTAAGTAAAGTTATTCCATTAATTACTCTAAGCACGCTTAATACTATATCTGTGGCTACTTCTGTGGCGGCTTGTTAATGAACCTTCACATATCATTACCATATTAATTAATGCTCAACTCAATGGTTGTCAATAGGAGGCTGCCAGAGTTGTCTCGTGGTTCTTTACAGCCCATCCTGCATGTTTGGTCCACTTAGCATCAGCATCTGAATAATTCTACAGCATCTATTTATCATGCCAGGCTATAATAGTCTGTTTGAATCTAAAAGAAAAAAAGTTGAGATACTGGTTTAACGTAGCTAAAAGCATTGTGTAAATAAAATAGGGTGTAGAAGAGTTGTAGTGGTGTAGAGTCACTGATATGCAGGGTCACTGGTATTTGTTTTTAGGGTGTGTGCAGGAGATTTTCCTAGTCACTGTCTGTGCAATGAAACACAGGAAAATCTAAAGCATGACTCACTTCTCAACAAACGCAGCTGCTTACTGTATGATCTGATCTGCCAAAAGGGCTGACTGCACACTATTTTCCCCCTCTTTTCTTCTGGGCTTTTATTAAGAAGGACTGATTAAATGAAAACCATGGCTAAGTCTCATAAAGTCTAAAAAGTCAGCATTTTTAAAAAGTGGAGAAAAATGCATTGTTGTGTTTTTTTCTTTTTAATGTGATTGGCAGGATCAGGGCGTTATATTGTAACACCCACACAGACTGTAAACAACAGCACTTTCTGACACGCAAACAGACTCAAAACCCACCAATTAAACCCAACTTCAATCCAGCCAGCCCTTATTCTGGGTGCTTATTTTCAGATTCTCTTTTTCTAAGCTTAAAAGGCAACAGTGCAGTCTGGTGAATGTCAGGCCTGTCTGATCCCCCAGATTCTTTGGACCTGCCCTCACGTTTTGCTGAGCTAAGAACAAAGTACACAGAGTGCAGCTTTTCTCCATGGAGTGCTTTGCTGTCTTAATATTAACGAAGTGGACCCAAAACAAGCAAGGCCAAACATTTCTTTACACTATTCAAATGTGCCCACTGAATATAAAATGTCTCATCGACCACTGAATGCATGCCGCTGTTTACTGATCCATCAGAGAATCGCACTTTGTTTATTATTCTGTCAGCAGAGAAGTCACAGCCAGTGCAGTTCAGCATCCACGGTCAAGAAAGGTTTCACACTTAACATGCAAAATCAGATCAGGCCGGTCGAAATGTTTAACCCCGCTCCTGTATGTACAGTAATGTACAGCACAGCACACACGGCCAGAACATTATGCAATCCCATTTTTACAACAAACCCCTTTCCACCCTGTCAAGCAGGAGGACTGTCAATTCTACCCAGCCATATCAAGTTACCACTCTCGCCCAGGTCCCAGCTCCTCTCCAACCACAGATCCTGTGCGCTATTAATATCAATAAGCTGCAGATTCCATTTCCCCAGACAAAGACAAAGGGAGAACAAGATGCGATGAGTGAGGGGAGGAACTAATACCCTTACGCATCGTGGGGTTAGTAGTCACTCTCACCTCCAACCCTGCTGCACCGAACAAAAGGAACATTTTGCACATGTAAAGCAGGACAATGTCAACTTTAACTAATAGGTCATATATTTTCCAATCATTTGTGGCTGTTTTTAACTGGGACAGCACAACACACCCTTGCTGCAGCTAACGTTCCTTGAGGTTTCCTTGAGTCTTTTTTTGTTTGTTTGTTTGTTTGTTTGTTTTGCACGTCTATCTTAAAGAATTTAGATTTAATTCTGTTTGCCAGAGCATGAGCAGAAATGAACAAATTAACAAAATGATTCATTGCTTGTTTTATCTCTTTAGAAAACTCTCTAAACACTCGAATACTTCACTGAATTCACCCTTTTGCAATCTGTACGGCAATTATTATACATGTTGCAGTAGCACTGTATTATGACCAATAGAGAAAGGCATTGCCATCTACACCCTATACATAAAATCTGTCAATCACTTACAGAACACACCTACAAAGACGCTCGTACAGACTCGC